CTTATTATATATATATATATATATATATATATATATTAAGAAATAAAATATAAAAAAATGACATATATATTTTTATATGAAGTAACAGAAATTTGTGCCAACAATTTTTCTTTTACATATGTAAATATAAATATTTTGATTTAGAATTTTTATTTAATTATTTAATGTAATAAAAATCTTTAATCCCTAACTAACATTTATAAGCATTTAGTCAATAACCAACCAAATTTTGACCATTATAAAAATTATGATTCTCTGACATCTTCTACTAAATTTTTCCTAAACAGAAAAATTTGCCTCCTTATTGCACAACTTCTTGCTGTTAATTTTAAATTAAAATAGTTTTCAAAATTTGCCCCTCTTCCGACACTGCTCAACTCACTTATCAACCAATATTTTAATTTAAAAGTAATTGCATTGCACTACGCATGTTGAAGGACGTTGCGATAACTCCCTAATATCAAAATTATTGATTAATTTACCGACTCTTTCAGAATTTATAATACAAATATTATACGATATCTATATTTATATATCATTTATATTTATTTGGTACAAAGACACTCTCTACCGAAGAAATTATCAAAATCTTAATATTGAACAAGATTTTTTTTTATTAATCATAATCATGAGTTATATGATTTTTTTATTAAAATAATGTTTTATTAATCATTGTTAATTTTATTTATTGTGTGATAAATTTTTGCTCCTAATATTTTTTATATTTTCGTCCCTAATTCAAGGAGAAACACAATTTCTGATGCATATGACCAAACTTTAAGAACAATTAAGATTAAATTGTTAGATTTTATCTAAAATCTCATAATAATTGAAATAGGGGAGTAGATAGTTTATCACATAAGGGAACCATATCCCTAAAGTAGTATTTGATAGTGGAATGAGACATAAGGGAACGAAATAGAACAGAATAATAATATATTTTTTTTCTGTATTTGATAATAACAGAACAAAACAGAATCAGATGTTCTATTTTGTATTTGGTGCTTGTTGAACAAAACAGATTATTATGTTTATTACATATATATTCCTATTCTATTTAATATTTGGTTAAGTATAAAAAAACTAAACAAAATAGAATAGAACATTTTTTCACATTTATTATTTTATGACTATTATTATATAATATTCTTATAAAATATTAATATTTATATTTTATAATTATTTTCTAAATACATAAATATGAAATATTTGATAAAATGTATTTTATAAAATATAATTAACTTAAATATATTGTTATTACTATATAAAAAGTTTCAAATGAAAAAAATATTAAAAATTTCACTTGTAAAGTTTCAAATAAATGCATTAATTATAACAATAATGACATTGTGTTAATGTCCAAAAATAAAATAAAACATCAAGTTTCAATATCATAAGAAATAAAAAAATACTATAAAATAAAATAAAACTTTGTAGTAATGTATGTTTCAACCCATAAGCACTTTATGAACAAATATTGTTGATAGACTAAAATACTCGTTATGTATATTTTTTACATTTTCAATACACTTAAATGTTTATATTTTCTATTGTACGAAAAAAGAAAGTAATTTTGTTCCTTTTACGTTAATTTTTAAAAATTTAAAATTATAATAATAATAGAATAAACTATTTTTTACTAAAATTAGACAACAAATCCAACAGACTCACAAACCAAATTTATTAAAAAAATACTAAATTGCTTTTTGATATATATATAACAACATTGATTTGATTTGAATGAGTCCAACATTCTCTCTATTAACAAATGATAGTAATTCAAATTATTAGTAATTTATATGATGCAAATAACAAAGCACAAAAATTCCAATAATACAAATAACACGGTAAAAAAAAAACTTGTTTTATCTTTGTATGTAGTGGGAGCAACGAGCATTACAAGGAGAGGGAAAAAGAATAGCAAATAGTACCAGGCGAAAAAGGATTGTGGTAAGGGTTTTATTTTTTAATTGGGTGTGCGTTTTGTTATTAAAAAATGTTTAATAAAATCTCCTATTTCGTTCCAGATAGTTCCACTTTGTTTTAGGAAACAAAAGTATTTCACTATTTTAATTATGTGTCTCGTTTAGGGATGGCAAAAATACCCGCACACGCGGGTACCTGCGGATAAAATCTACTACGGATAAAGATAGGCTAATTGGGTACCCGCGGATAATGGGGACGGATAATTTTTTACCCGTTTATAAATGGGGCGGGGGCGGGTATGATGATATCCATACCCGCGGATACCCGTATAATATTATTTCTTAAATATCTTAATTATCCTTATACCACAGCCCTAAAACTACACTCTCTCGTCTTATTTTCTTACAAAAGTGAGGTTGATGAAGTTACTAACATGTGTTAAGCATGTTATAGAATTATGTTAGATATAATTTGATTAATTTTCTAACTTTGATTGGACCAATAAGATTTATGTACTTTAAGTTGTTTACTTTCGTTTGGAATTATGAGATTGAATTATTGTAACTTTGTGATGAAACTTTAACTTACTTGTCAAATTGATGTATTTTAAGTTATTAATTATAATACATTTTTATTATTATTTTAAAAAAATTAATGTTAAATACAAATTCAAAATTAACATTAAATTTTTATTTTTAATATTTCAATGACATTAAATATAAACTTAAAATTATTTGTAATATAATTTTTTTAATTTCTTAAAAAACTTATAAATATCCATGGATATCCATGAATATCTGTGGGTATTCAAGAAATTCATGGATACCCGCTTAATAAATACCCGCACGAATATGGGGTGGGTATGGAGCCAATTTTCATTTAGCGGGGTGAGGGCGGGTTTACTATTACCCGCTCCTATGGGACTCCATTACCATCCCTAGTCCCATTCTATTCTTTCTTTTAATTTCATCAAATAAAAAACAGAACTTTTATGTTCCATCCCATTCTAACGTATATTCCAAACACTAGTTAAGTTTTTCTTTGAACTTGATTTATGCTTATTTTATTTCTATCTCTAAATGCTTCAAAACCAAATAATTCTCCCGTTTGCACCAAGTTGCAATGCCCTCTAGCGTGTTCCAAACACATCAAACTTCAGACGCCAGGGATCGATTGAAAGTAATAGTCATCAAAAACACATTAATACATTCCATATGACTTACTCAATACGTAAGCTATTAATATGTAATAAAAATAAATAAATGAACATTTAAAGAACAATTAATCTTACTTTCTTTAATTTATTTCCTATTTTAAATCTATAAATTAGTTAATTGCTATAACACCTCAAAATTTTTAAATAAATTAATATATTTTAATTAACTAAGGAATTCTTGAGAAATAAGAGAGTTATTTTATTTAATTATATATATATATATATATATATATATTTATATTATAGGATATTTAATTATGTTAAAGAAATAATGGAAGAAGTTGTTTTATTAAGGGAACTTTTCTCAGGCATCTTTATTCTGTCTTTGCTTAGAGTAACTCCAATGAGAGTTGTTGGTCTCGTTTATCATTTCAATGGATAGTTTCTTCCCATTGGAGCACTCCTACGTGGTAATATGAGTTGCTTGAAGAAGAGGGAGAGTTATTTTTGCAAGAAATTGTTGCTTACTAGATTTTGGTGGGGGAAGAGATCAGCGGGATGAGGTTTGACGACTTTATTAAAGGTGTCAAGAGCCTTGTCAATGTTGCAACTGTGAGACCCCTTCTCCTTTTCCTTTCCATTTTCACTCTCACTCACTCTCATTTTCCCTCTTGAACTCTATTCTTCCCCACAAATTCTCTGAACCTTGTTGCTGATTTCATTTCTCTCTAGCTAAAGCGGTGAGCAACTAAGAGGGTCGTTCTCTCAACGTGTAGCCGTGCGGAGCTTTCTCATCTTCTTCTTCTCGTTCTTCTCTTCCTAGAGCTCGAAATTCTTCACCGAGGTAAGGGAAGCTAGGATTCATGCTGGCTATGTGAAGATGAGTTTAGCAACTCATGGATGGTTTGATGATTTGATGATTTATGACTGTGGTTGTTGAAAATGAGTTTTCGGGGTTTTTGATGAAATTTGGATTTTTGATAATTTGTGGTTGCATGTTGAAAAAGATGGTATTTTTGAGCTGTTTGGTGAAAATGTGAAGTTTTGGATGGTTTGCATGTGGATTTGTTGGTTGTTTGTGCAAGTTTTGATGGAAATTTTTGAACTTGGAAAGTTGCTGCGTGGTAGCACGCCGGGCACAGTTCTTGGCACCGGGCGCGTGACCATTAGAGGACTCCATTGGTCGAGCCCACCGGCCCCAAGTGGTGTGCGTCGGGCGAGCTGGAGGATGGATGCCCCTGGATGGCTCACGCCGGGCGTGGTTGGACCACGCTAGGCGCACTATCAGGTAGTAACTTAGTATTTTGGGATTCTGGTGTGGCACCGGGCGTGATTACGTCTCGCTAGGCATGGAAACTCCTTGGGAGTCTCTGCCAGAGGTGGCGCCAGACACAATTGCTATTGTGCCGGGCGTGAGACCTTGGGGAGGTCTCTGTCTTCCTTGCGCCAATCGCAGGTTTGGCACGCCGGGCGTGTGAGGCTCTTTGGAGTCTCTGCCTCCTAGCACGCCAGGCACAATTGGAATTACGCCGGGCACGTTTGAGCCCTGATGCTCTCTAGTTGGGCCACGCCAGGTGCGACCATGAGTGCACCAGGCGCGAATGTGATCATTATTTATATGTTGATATTAGCTGAAATTGTTGATGTTTGCTAAGCTGAGATGTTATTGATGAATGTTGAGCTGATTTATAATATTGTTGTGCAGTGTTGCATGCTGATATAAACT